TCAAACAAAAAAAAGTATGAATGCATTGAATGAACCATAAAGGAGAAATTTGGGATGCGCTTTTGAGAAAGCGGAAACTGAGAAAACACGAAAAACATTTTTGATTTTTTAAAAAACAGCTGGTTCTTCGAATAGGGGTTGACAAAAATCTTGAAAATTTTTTGGGAAAAATGAAGTAACGAGAAAAACAAATTATCGTTTATGAAAGAGCAGATGACGGGCTATCTCCCCATGTATTTATGTCAATTTCGGAATTTTTGACGAATATTGACTTTTCTGAGGGGGGGGGGAGGCTTAACATTTGTTCTTTGAAATTTAATAATGATTTTGAATCTTTAAAACCGTTTAATTTATTAATAGTTACATTGAGAAAATTATTTATCTTTTAATTAGAGATACATTTTCTTGTAGATGAATTTTTATTTTTTTTTCCATTCTTTTTTTAATTTTGTACATCTAAAGACTAAAATTCGTTTGTGTTATTAACTGATGAGATATAGCAGTGTGAAATAGTATGCAGAAAAGAATTTGTCTACTGCCTTATAAGAAGTTTTCATTTCCTTTAACTTTTCATCTGATATACCTAGAAAACTTTTGTTTATCAAGACTATTGAATTTTTTCTGTTATTTTTCTGAATAGATTATTGAATTCATTCAAATTTGATACTATAGTTGATTTAATTTTTTCTTCCTGCTTTACTATTTCTAGTTCGGTTATTTTGTAATCAAAGACCATCCTTAAGAATTGAAGAACATCACGAAAAAATTTATTAGTTGTTTTTTGTAAAAATTTGTTCTACAATATAAAAAACATTTTTTATTGTTTTATGATCAAATCCTATTACATTATTTATCATCTACTTGAAAAAGTCTATGATTCTTCCTTTTTTCTGTGTACTACTAAAATCATGAGAATTTAAAAGACTTGAATATTTTTTCTACTACTTTTGAATCATACAGTGTATTAAAAGTATTTATTTGTTGTTCAATATTGTAATTATAATTTCTTTCTTCACCATTTATGATACAATTATTATTTTTATTTTTTCAATTCGAACAGAGATAAAGAAAAAAAGTATGGTATAAATAATATCGTAGATTTTAAATAAGTATGTGCTTTATCTTTTTTATATAGTTTGTTAGTAAGTCAAACTCTTATCAATACCTGACAAAGATAAATTATGTTGAAAAAATTAGAAGAAACTTGTAAATAATATTCAATTGCCTATCATTTATTAATAAATTTTGTAATGACTCTGTTTGATTTTGATGAAAAAGATGAAGAATTCAAAAAATTTTCAAAGATTTTCATTAAATTATCTTGATTACTAATCTTATTATAATTGCAGGTTGACTGTATGAATTTCAGTTGATTATCATAATAGAGTTCTTGAAATCTGTTATTCGAATCAGTTTCAAAATACTTATAAGATTCTTTTTGTTTATTTTCTATTTTCACTAGAAAATTCTTCAGCACGTTCCAACGTTTTCCCTGACAAGATTAAACAATATTGTTTTATATATTCTCTTTACAATCCTCTTGAGAAGTCTACTAATAAATCTAAAATAAAAGTATTTTCTAACGATAGAAATTCAATGAATAGTTTACATAATTCTTGTTTTTGAGCTGCAATTTTTTCTAACTCGCCTAAATTATAAAGATAAGTATATGTCAAATTAGAAATTCGACTCAAAACGATGAATTTTCTCTCATATGAAGAAAGAATATTAATTGCTTTAAGAATTCATTACATTTATTTAATATTTGGTGTGCTAATAACATCACTCCAATATATATTTCATCTATATCAGGTCCTTCTGTTTGAAATCGTTGATCTTCTATACTAAAAGCTTCAGCAAATTTTTCTTTTAAAATTAAAATTTGCTTGGCATCATGCTCGATATTAGGCAGTGTATGTACTTGATAAGATGGTAACCATTCTAAGACAGCTGTTTTTACGAAGAATTGGTTTCAATTCGAGGCCTGCCAATGCTGATAAGTATCTCATTTTTTAGGATTACTGCATTCATCAAAAATTTGTGAAGACTGCTGAAAAACGTCATGATAAGGGTGTGGGTATGCGTTTAGTTGATATAAACACCCACATCCACCCACACCCACACTCACACCCGCACACCCACCCACACACGCACACCCACACCCATGTGCGAAGTGTAGAGTTGGCTAAAACAATTTCTGGTACCGCCTTTCCATCATGTCGATAGTCAAGTGATAATGGAAGAGTGGTATAAGCTTGCTGATGAACGAGTATGAGATCAAGTGATGTTAAATCAATATCAAAATTTTGCAAGACAACGCCTGCATGATCGATACTTTGATTGATAGATATTTGAATTACTGATTTTTTTCAACTCGCATTTCTGCCCATAGTATTGAGCTGTACATGAGCAGATCATTTGATTCGGATTCGAACCTGAAAAACATGAACCACCGTTGAGACAGGGATACGACGAATATTGATCGGACTCGAGATGGCATCGCTCACCGAATCGGTTCAGTGAGCAGATACAATAAGGCAATCTATTTCTATTGAATGGACTTCTATATCTGGATAAACACAAAGCATTTGTTGAACAATAGCCTGTAGCACATTCGGTATCTTCGACTGAACAATTCTCTCCCGTGAAATTAGTCTTACAGAGGCATATCGATTTAGAATGGTCATTGGCATATGCGTGACATTGCCTGCTTGTATCGATATTCGACGACGGCAATCGCAGAATTTTCGCGAAACGAAACACAGGCAGATAGTCGAAGTAGATTGAGTAGTGCCATATTGCGATTAATCGAGGCCGTTCCTTGATTTTCAACTCGTATGCTTCGATACGGATTGAGTAAGGATGACTGCTAATGATGTTCGATCGATTGAAGTATCGTTCTCGTCTCTGCCGACGAAATTCTAATGATTGTGAGTATAGAAAATAAATCATCATTTTCTTGTGAACAATTCTTTCAACTGATAATTGAACGTTGAATTCACGAGTTCCAAGGGTTTCGTTGTTAAATAGAAACACAACAAGTAGTTTGAGTACAATTTCAAGGTTTCCTTTTGCGCTATAGACTGATTGAGATAGATTCAGATGAAGCAGAACCGTTAATCGATCGGTATGAAATTGACATTTGTCACCGTAGTACTGAGGTGGACAGAAGCATACTGCAGACCCATTGTACATTTGAATACCGACACCCCGATTGCACGAAAAAGGAATTGATGACAATATGCGATTTGAAGCATTCATTTGCTTCGTTGTTAACGTCAAATTAGTCGTATTTGTATCGTTCGAAAATCGAGAGAGTCGAAGGTTGTTTTTCAAATTTTTTCTCATTAAATTTTTCTGTTCTCGATAAGGAACAGAAGCACGTTGTGATTCACTTTGATAATCACCCATATATTCATCTTCGCCAAAAGGACAATTCTGAATCTGATTACATCTACCGCCTGTAGCACATATGCCCGTGAAACAAACAAAATCATTCAATTTCCAACAATATGGAAATCGTCGACGATATTGACACCAGATTTCATCGTCCAATAGAGTAGGACATCGATATCCACACTGTATCCAATATGGAATACAAGTGTTGCTAAGTGTACACTTGATATTATATCAAAGCATTGACGATTGATCACAATGTAGGCGTGTATTGCGTTCATCGATATGACCATCACCAATTTGATGTAAACTAATACAATGTCGTTCATGTGTTAAATTCGTTGTTGATTGGCGTATGCACAGATATTCACTCGTGAGATCACATATAGTGGAAAATGGTCTACTGTTGTAGTGATTTTTGAGTCCTCTTTGAAGAACACTCAATTCAATGATCTTCAAATTTCGCTCAAATATTGACTGATCGAGAGTATATATTCCGTCTTCGTCCGATGCATCGGCACAGTCCCACTCTCCATCCAATACCCAACTTTCATCGATACACTGTCTTGTTCCACATTGCCATTCATCTTCTCGGCATACCCACCATTTTCGACATTCGGTTGTATTTTCATCTTCTGTAGAGTTCAAATCTCAAAACGTATTACAAAAGGTACGAAATGGAAGTAGTGACTTTTTTACAGATTCGCTCTTCTCGTTCGATGACCATGATTGTTCTATGTACTGACGAAGAACACCACATTCGTGGTTTGATTGACTATTGCAATTCATGTACGACAGTTTTCTACCTGTTCCCATCCACAGTTCGTCGAATTTATTCTTGCAGTTGTCCTGCTGATTACAGAGCGTATTAACACTCAAACAGGATGGTCCCACGTCGGAGCAACGGAAACGATGGCGTTGGAGATTTGAACACGTTTGATTGATCAACATGTAATTGATTCATCAGTTTTATCAAAACAATTCTCAACTCCATCATGAATACGATAGGCAGATATACATTCCATGGATACGTTGCATATATCGATGAAATCGTACGAACGATTGTTAAATGTTTGCGACAGATGATTACAACTTTGATGGTAGCTATTATTTTGTGCGATTGCATTGTCTATTATACTTCGGCATACTATGAATTCGATTTTTCGAAGGTTCCATCCAGGTGTGTATAAGCGCATATAGTCGAAATCGTATAACACGCCGCGACATCTAATTTTTCCGTTCAATAAAACGTAATCAGGCTCAAATTTATTCCATTCTCGGCCGTCAATGTAAATGTGCATGATATAAGGACCCATGATTTCACCTCTCGGATATTGAATAAAACCAGACGGACAAGTTCTGCTGATATCATCAACACAAGAATGTCTGTGTCCGCAAGAACAGTTCCTTTCGGCTCCTTGTGACAAAGCACATTTCACTAAATAATCACATTCTTCATCAATAGTGCGATTTGCAATAGTTAACTCTTCGTATGCATCAGCAGAATAACATCGTCCATTGGACAGTGTCCACATAGATATTGTGGAATGTGTTTCACAAATGAAATACTGATCGCGTCGACTCCAGCATTCAACATTCGTCTTTCAGTTATTCTGAAAATTGAATCGATCAGCAATGCACTGCACATCACCAGATGACCATCGATTCGGTGGACATATTCGATCATCACATTGTGAACTAGCTTCTTCAAACCCACAATTTAGATCATCATAATATTGTATTTCATCACTCCAATCCAAACAATCGAAGTCACCATCAAGAAAGTACTCGTCTGGAATACACATTCCATTCATGCATCGATATTCATCTTGTTCACATTCATTAAATTCCAATATATCACAATTCTCTTCATCAAATCCTGACATACACTGTTGAATGCCATCGCAAACATCTCTCCAGTCAATACATAGTAAACCAGAATCACATTCGAGCAGCATGTAGCAAATGATATCGCTATACAGCTGCATTTCCCATGGATATTGTATTTTCATGTTCATTTGCCATTTCAATGTCTCATCAAATGTTTCACCCCTTGACAGGAGATATTGGCAATACTTTCCAAATGAGAGCGGTTGGGTACACTCACATAAATATTCATCGGATTCAGTTGACTTTTCTAAATATCGAGAGTATGCCTCTACTTTCTCAATACTCGATTTCCATTCATGTAAAATAGTGTTAACACTGACGTTATTCAATCGCAGCGAGATGAATGAATGCATTCTTCCGTTGTAGTGACATTGTTTGATCTCACTCCCATGTTGTAGAGAGATAAGTTTTACTGGACGACGACAATAGTCAAGAGCCTCATGAGTAATACAATCGAAGTATTCGACCGATGGTCCATTCTCCGTATTGCGAACATAGACTTTGTCTTCGGCAAGTGGCAAAATGATCAAGATGAGAATTACTCTTGGCAATGCCATCGTTGATAATGATAACCTTCGACAATAATAGATTCTTCTTTCAAATTCTACACATGCATGCGTGCTGATGATAGACGACTGACGCACATTTATCAAATCTTGCTCAACTAATATTGAACGATCGTGGCGTTTGAATAATAAGGCGTAATTTCTCACTGTCTCGGTTTGCACGGAAGAGAAAACATGATTTTTTTCCCATTAAATGATTGACGTGTATGTCACGCAAGGGGAGGGTGTTGGTGTTTGGGGTGTGTGTGGGTATTGGTGGGCCTGTGGGTGTGGATCAGAATACACTCCACCCTCACCCCACACCCTCTATCATACCTTACGTCAATACATCGTCTTGTATAACAACTAATTCTGAGCAGTCAGTCTGAAAGATGTGATTGAAGTAGTCTGGATAGTACTTCATGTCCTTTTACTCAACCACTCTTTCAATCTTACTTTTTTATTGTCGATATCAAAAGCATGATATTTTCGTCATTTGCATATTCTCAACCACATGTATAACTCAAATTTCTCATCTGTTGATGCTCACAATAATCAGCGATAGAAGGAAAGAGAGAAGACTGAATTTCACATACACGCACAGTTATTCGGCTGGACTGAAAACGACTAAACTATGAATAAAGCACATCTCAAAATAATCATTTTTAGCGATGTTGTTTTACTTAAAAGAAGATAAACTTTCTTTTTAGTTGGCACGTGCTTCGTTGAATTCCTCAATATCATTTTCTTCAATTTTATAATTATTTTTACTTCTTCTTGTTTAAAATTTTCTACTGTTAAGCTTTGTTTTTCGGTTCACCATTTTTCGCACCGAAGATTTAGTAGTTTTTACTTTTTTCAAAGTATCCTCTAGAAACATAAGGATGGGGGTGTGGCTTCTTTCTAAACCCACACCCACACCCAAAATTTCTTTATCATCTCGAAACCAATATTACACTTGACTTCAAACATGAAGTTTCATTAAGTCATACAATAACTGAATTAAGATGATCGAAACAACAAGATCATTTAGATGTTCTGATAA